AAATCCACCTCAAGGCATTATCAGTATCAACAATTGGGACAGTAAGTACCAGAATCTTGGACGCTTTTTTCCCTAGTATGTTTTGCATTGGACCGACACCCAGCTGTCACTCATATACTGCTTTGTCCCTTAAAAAAATCCAAAACCCATCAAAGTACTATTAGTAAGAAGTGACTTCTTGATCTTAAGAACACACAGTTATTGGTTTTGTGAAATGCTGATGTTTCCTGGGTAGTACCTAAATGGATGCTCAAGAGGACCTATGTATGCCAGATAGCTGAAATCCCTTTGGGAAGTGGTGGGGAAGGCAGAAAGAAAAATCTGCCTCTTGCTACTTCAGATCTGATAACAAGCAACTTAATAAAATATTTATTTCATCAGGCAAAATTTCTTCGCCTCCCACAACGTATTCCTGACAAGCTAATCTGGGCTACCTGAAGATAAGATGGGAGGGCCAAAACCTCAACTAAGGATTTGGAGTGCCAAACCAAACTCAGACTTTCCAAAGGGGTTAACTACAGTTTCTGAAACAGGTGCTAGGTAGACATAATACCTCTTGGGTTTGGACACTTCCATTCCAGAAGCTGCTAATTGACCTCCCCTGCCCACTGATGATGATTGCTGCAAAGAACTGTAGTGGCCAACATGTCCTGCTGTTCTCTGGTAATGAGACCTTGCTCCTTGGGTCCAGAAAACTTAATAGAAAGCATCATTGCAGAACCTGCTGGGGCAGAAGCATCAGCCGTAAAAAATGAGGTGCAGAAGGAAAATAACAGGACATCTTTGTAGATGTGAAACATCATTTAAATTGGTGGACTCCGGGGTATTGAGGGAGGCTCAGCTGCCCGGTTTTCCATTGCTTTAGTAACTTGGAAGTCAGCTGTGCTGTGAGGCAGCCAGGCAGGCCAGTGAAGATGCATTTCGGGCAGTACCTCTGCCAGTCATAGTTTTCAGATACAGGTTCATAGTTTCCAGTGGATCTTGCATCCAAAGGGTGTTGGAACAGCCCTTGGTCTGTTCTACATTTATCACAAAAATGTTACTCTTAAGCATTTATAAAAAAGTGTTTGTGGCAAGAAAACTATTTGGTATTTCAAATGCAAGGTAGGGGTGGGAAACAGGGCTACTTCCCACATACCTCCTCCAGTTTTTGTTATTTCTTTGGAAAAACTTCAGCATCCTGATTATTAGATATTCACCTTCTGTCCATTCCTCTTATATGACCTTGTTGATTTAAAAATAATAATTAGTCTAAATCATGACTTGCATCATATACTTTTGCTGAGGATCTAAAATAACAAGTAGCATCTCCTCTGCCTTTAAGTCAAATAGTCAGATTTTTTTGTTTTGTCACCCAAATATCTGGGTACTGTCTGGTTCTTCCCCTGTGATACACAGGCAGAGAGGGGGACAAAGAAGGATGCCAGTTAGCACTGTCACAGGGACGTGGAAAGTACTGTAATTAACAGTATCAACAATAAATGCCATCTTAATTTAGCAGTGTCCTGCTGGGATCGTTCTCTGAGTCGTAATACCTCCGTCTGCTGCTGCTTTCTTCCCCTGTCCAAACCTATGTGGAAGGGTTTAATCTGGCTCAAAGTAGAGTTTCTTCAGCACTGGATCAAAGAGGGGGAAATGAGTTAAACTTTAGCCTGCTCAAACCTGTAGGTAAAGACCTGGAAGGAAAGCGAGCTGGATTAACCTAGTATATGATGCAGGTGTAATTCATAGCTAGTTCAAGTGGAGCTTCTCCCGGCGTGCATGGGATGAGATCTTGCCTCGGAATTAGTGTTGTTATTAACAGCACCGGCTCAGATTTAGAAGGCAACATCTGAAAATCATGCAGGGGGCCTGGCTGAGCTCTTAATTAGCTACGGAAAGGTGCATCAGAAGGGGGAGGGTGTGACGTCTGGTGACTTCTTGCAGCGTTATTCCCTACAGTTGCTTTTGTGCCCTCCTTGCAGTTAATGAGAGACGAGAGCCTTGACATTGATCCTGCGTTGGGTTAGGGCATGGAGAAATTTGTTATGTATTTGTAGATCCCGCTTTTGTTCTCTTTTTCTTAGAATGAGCTGGAAACCATGTAAAGGCTCTCAGAAAACGATGGCTGATGGTAAGCACTGTCATACAGTTAAGCCATCATTTTCTTCTTTTTTGTTTCGCATCCCACCATTTTACAAATATATCTAAGGGCAACAGAGAGAGGAATTTCCAAATTTGTTGAGGTGGTTTTTTGTTTATTTCTTAAATGTATACGTTTGCAAAGTTGTTTTGCGGAGAGTACTGCAGTTCCTGCAGTGCAGGTTTGCAGTTATTCAACTCGTTTGCTCTCCTTAAATGTCCTAGATTTGTTGCTACAGAAGTGGGAGGAGAAAATTTTACAGCAGGACCTCCTGTATTCTTGTAAGGACCGTTTCTCTGTATTCAAAGTAAAATCTGTGTCTTTCTGGTACTGTGTTAACAAATTCCTAGAAAACTGTATAATTTTAGTTTAAGCAGAATTTATGGCAAGACCTGATTTTGGGGAGGGTTGTCCATCTTGAGGAATGCCTTTCAGATGAAAGAGTTGTTCTAAAATCGGAGGCCAGTCTTTCTCTTTACGAGGCCATTCATCAGTTACCTGCTCGGAATGCTGTAAATGTAAATCCTTCCCAGAAAGAGTTTCATTCACACTCGTGAGGCTGTTTGTCAAGTCTTTGGTAGCGTATACCTGTTACCTTAGCAACTTGCAGGGGTTAAACGGGTGTCTAGGAGAGAACAACCTTACAGATCTCACAGGGTCATTTTGTTTTCCCCTAGTGACAGGGGGTATCTCCTAGCAGGAGGAGCAATTTCTGTTTTTCAGTGTGATGCAAAATACTGTTACCAAATTTCAAATTATTAAATGACACTTGGCTGGTTAGTATATAGATTGAATATAGATTTGCAAGTCTCTTGTAATTTTGCACCCATGGGAGAGAGGACCCAAAAAGGACTGGTTTTTATAGCTCTAGCAGAAATGAAAATTGGGATTCAACTTGTAAAGCTGAAGTTGCATTGATCCCCTCCTGGAGATCAGAATGAGGGTGAGTGCAAGAGAGGGCCGAGGGAAAAATTTGTTCCAGCTTTGAATTTTACTTCCATTTATAGTTGATTTCGTAAAACATCGGTCCTATTTCCATAAAATTGAAGTTAGACGATCTCTTCAGAAAAATTTTCGTTTCATTTTTAGAGATCGCACTTACTCAGCACCATCTAGTGGACCGACCACTATTGTCATGTAGAAACCAGCTGGTCTTTGTAAACCGTAAAGCAATTTAGAGCATGCAGTCCTTACAGTGTGAATGATGTACCTGAAGTATGTTTGGGAGTAATTACATGACAGAATCAGAAGAAGATTAGCAGTTGTTTTGTTGAGAAGGAGCGGTGTGAAGGAAGGGAAAGTTGAAGATACGTGTGGGTAGCGGCGCCTGTTATCTTCTGTGTTCCTTTAGTCCATTGAGCTCCAGCCTGCTTGCCTGCTTCTCTGCCTTACCATGGGATGCCATCTAGGTTGTAAGCTTCTCGAAGGCAGGATTTTGGAACTCACTTTCTTTGTGCAGTACCACAACGCAGAAATCACAGCCTGATTGTCACTGTGATACAAATGATAAATACGAGCTGGTGCTAATGTTGAGCTCTGAAGTCCTCACCTGAGGAAAATGCTCTGGAGTCTTTCTCATTTAGATTGTAGGCAAGGAATTCAGTGCAGAAAGCAAGAGAATCATCAGGTCATCCCAGTTGCTGCCTCAGGAAAAGATAAGGGGTCTGCAGATCCAGTCTTTCAGGGGTGCATGGGAACAGGTTTGCTTTTTCCAGCTCTAGCAAGAAGGGCTGAAACTCTGGAGAAATGAACGTCTCCAGAAGCTTGGTTGTTTCTGCAGCCCTGGCTACATCATCAGCATCCTACTCTGCTCTCTTAAATGAGGTTTCTTTGGCAGCAAGCCTTTGATTTTGTAGCTCCAGTTGCGAATGAAGGGAGAGCACAGGGGGAGATCCCAAGTCTCTGGGCAGAAGACCCTGGCAAAAGCCGCAGACATGTGGGTGAGAGCAGGCAGCCAGCGCTCTTGCCCACTGACACTGGGCAAGCACCCGAGGCAAAGCAGCGAGCATCACTGAGAGCAGGAGGAACTATGGAAAATGGGAGCAAAGCAAAGTTGCATTACAGCAAATGCACCAAGTTGTAGCATCTTCCCCTTTAAACTTCCTTGCATTTTAACATTTCGTCACTTTAGGGTCTGTTGGTTTTGTTCAATTCACGTGTTTTGGACAATGAAAATAAGTGGGTCGGGTTTATTCTGTAAATTTGTATGCATTAGCACAATAACATTGTGCTGAGGTTTCAAAAAAAGCTATTCTTAAATAATTCATAGAAGCATTTCACTTCATTTTTCCGAAATCTAAATGCGCAGACTAGTTTGTTTCCCAGGTTTAAGGGAACCCACCACTTAAATAACACTCTCTTTCCTCTCTAAGTTTTTATGTAGCGCAGCAGTCAGAATATCACTTGCCTGCTGGCTTCCTCACAATACCACGTTGCAACATAACCTCTCCAGGCAGAAGTGACTGGGTTTTTCCAGATGAAGAAAATAAAAGTTTAGGGATTTTCCTTTTCAAGTTTTAAATTTGGGACAATGGCTGTGGATACTGATTGTAGTGTACGCATTCATCCAGTTGGGCGGGTGCAATCCTCTTTGAAAATCCACTTGGCTCCCACTGACTGCAGCAGAAACATGGGTCTGAAAAGGTCATCACGTTTAAGTAAACAAATTTAGTGACAGGAATCCTGTTTTTTCAGAGGTTTGGGGATAAATCCTACATACTGAAAAATAACCATGTACTAAGGACTTGGCTCTGCTTTTATAATAGCTGCGAACCAAACATTAGCGAGCATATTGGAATTCAGGAAAATGCTTAACATTGTTTCCTCTCTCTCTGTTTCTCCTCTAGCTCTGGGATTGTACACAGTAAATGCAGTATATGGAGATACTATTACTATGCCTTGTCGTCTAGAAGTACCAGATGGTCTTATGTTTGGAAAATGGAAATATGTAAGTATAGCTTACCTTTACATTCATTAGAGCTGGTATAAGATGATGTGTATTTTTTGTGTGTGAGATTACAAGACTCCAATCGATAGGATTTCTGGCTCGGATACGAAGACATTCATTCATGTGTTTGTAAGATTGCAAGATTCCAATCTGCATAATTTCTGCCAAGCATAGATTAGAGTTTTGAGGAATTAATCTCATTGTTCAAGAGAAATAATTATCCAGGAGTTCTCTGCCAACCTGTATTAGAGATCTGGCGTGTTACCCAGTGGTGCCTCACCCGCTTGACAGAGCCATCGTGGTACATTTGAATATTTTTGAAGCAGGCTGCCTGAAGCAAGGTGTGCTTCATCCTTGGGAAAGCGCTTTCCCCGGGTCTGGTTGATCTGACAGTCACTCGGTACCATTTCGTGCTTCAGTGTGTTTAATGCACAGCAAAGAAGAGGGCAGAGCTGACCTTAGTAGAGTTACTGGTGGTTTCGCTCTGGCATTTCTGGTGTGTGGAGAGAAGAGAGGCAAAAGCACCAATGCTCTCCTGGTTGTCTCGGTCAGCCTGCAGTGGGAACACCGCAGGATGCCCTTCACCTGCATGCGATTGGTATCCGGGATCAAAAGGAGAATAAGCGTGCCACAGTCAAATGAAACCTGGAAGCGTACATGGAAGAAACCGCCAGGACACCAAAACCCTTCTGCTTCTCAGACTGACATTGGGACAATCAGCTTTCCTGCTACTATAAAGCTCGTCTCCATCTCCTCTCGTGCTCAAACCAAAATGTCACCAGCAATAACAGGTGGTGTTTACTCTGACAGCGGATTTAAAATTACGTCGTTCTCTCTCTTTTTAAATGGCATCCGCCTGCCTATTTTACAGCAAACTGGTCTGCCCCTGGGGATGTTTCAGAATCCCTCCTGGCTCCTTCCCTTGGACGTGGAAGTTTGCAGCTTTTGCAGCCCTCATCCGCTCCACTCAAGAGTTCCTGCCCACAAACATGTTCTGGGAAATGAAGTCAGAAGTCTGTGGAGAACGTTTCCCTAAAAGGATCAGTGAAACTGTTTCATATAAGCGTTCAGAAGATGCAGGGCCTACATTTTGCAATGTGCTTTTTAGTCTGATGACTTTTCTTGGGAAGAAGTCCATCTGTATGCAGACGCAAGGCTATTTTGAGAAAAATGCATTATTTCTTTCCGGTACATTTGGATTGCTCATCTCTGGCAAGTACCAAGCAGCACATGGAGACGTTGTAGCTTCCCCTAAATGGAAAGGGACACAAAACCTAGAGTGCAGAAAAGCCCGTCCGACTGCTATTGCATGAAATTGTTGACGCAGCCTGCACAACCAAGTGAAAGTGCTACCCGTTCTCCCGGGGCAGCTCCTAGCATTGGCAGCACTTGTTTTTAGCAGGGGGAGGTTTTTTTGGTCAGGTGATTATTTTTTCATTGGAAGAAGGAGGAACTCTTGTTTTCTGTTGTGCTGCCTTGGGAGTAGCAATTTGGGTTGCTGGTGGGAGCCTGGGGGCACTGGGAGACTTGCATCCTGTCAGGGGCAAGTTTTGCTCCCTTCAGCGTCTACCTGTGCATGCTCGTGCGCTGGGCAGGCTTATGGAGTTAAGAGCTTGTTTGTGTTTGACAGCCAACTTTGTGTGTATCAAGTAAAGGCAAAGCTTCCCTTCCTGTGTGACAGACATCTAGAGTAATCCGAGAGTTAAAAGTGGGAGAGGGAGAAAGACTGTAAGGGAATCTAAACTTTGCATCATCTCTTGTCACAGCATCGTCATGCTTTTGTGGGCTCTGCAGTCAAGCTGAGGTATTGTGCTGGGAGTACTGCTCGCATCAGTGCCGCAAGGTGCAAGGGATAAAAGGGAATGAAAAGCTCTTCCAGCCCCCAGCACAATACTGAACGTAAAGATGGAGTCAGCCTTTCACCTCACTTTATCTAAAGGCAGACAGTGTCTGTCCCTGCTCTGTGTGTGTGTTTGGTGGTGGTGGGAGAATAAAATCCTGCAGAACTCAGCCTGTATCTTTGTCTTTCACGAAAATAAATTTTTTATATGGTAGGATTGTGCAAGGCTGTCAACTTTGTATTCCTTCTTAGGATGGCACCTGAATACTTATTAATATAAGGAGGATGTCTAGAAAATTATATTTTGCAGATTATCCTGAGATGCATAAATAACAATATTTGATTGTATGTATATTCCCATGCCACAAGCTCTTGGGTCCTTTAAAAACAAAGGGGAAAAAAAAGCCAAAAACTAATTTAGAATAAAATAGGCAGTTATGCCTGATTAAATCCTGCATTTGGAATGAAGTCTGAATATCCCAGACAAACAATATGAATATGTAAAAGAATCATAAAAAAAAAAGAAACTGAAGCTTCTGAGCCTAGCTCACAAACGCTTCTATTTCAAGTACTTTTTCATACACACAGAGGTGAGTGCTGCCAGAACCACCAGCCTGCATCAGAGAAAGCCCTGTGCTACGCTGAGATTGAGCCAAGGGATTGAAATTATTTCTACTGATGATAGTCTCAGTGTGTACCATGGCAGTCTTAAACTAGGTTTTGTATTACACTGAATTTCTTGTTTGTACAGGAGAAATTAATCAGGAAAAAAGCCATCTGGTGTAGTCTTCAGATTTCTTCTGAATTATGGGTTTGTACCAATTGCAGATCTTCAGGAACTTCTAAATGAGTGTTTATGCAAATAGAGGTGTTTATCCTTTTATTATAGGAAATGCCAAATGGATCTCCAGTATTTATTGCCTTCAGATCATCAACAAAAAAAAATGTACAGTATGATGATGTACCAGACTACAAAGACAGGTTGAGTCTCTCAGAAAACTATACATTATCCATCAAGAATGCAAGAATCAGTGATGAAAAGAGATTTGTATGTATGCTAGTTACAGAAGATGACGTTTCCGAAGAGCCAACGATAGTCAAAGTCTTCAGTAAGTAAATCTAGTTGTTACTACCATGAACATTCATCATCATCTGAATCGTAAATTACAGAAACTTTTATTTAAGGGAAGGATTAAAGCCAAGAAAGTAAGTTTGGCTGAGTAAATTACTAAGACTAGCAAATTTCTGCAGCTTTCAGAAATGTAATCTACTGGTGGCATTTACGTAACAGGACTGCCTGCACTTGCAGTTTATTCATGATAAGTGCTGGCTCAAAGAGAATTTTAGGCTTTGATAATGACTCACTTACGTGATGTCATTTGGCCTTGGAAATGAAAAATGTAAAATTAGCACTGATTATTTTCCATTTGTTCTCTGCGCAAATTTTTCTGCAGGAGGGAAGCATTAACTGTGTGCGGTCTGCAGGATTAGATCAGTGGAGAGGCTTAAGCCAGCTCCAAGCAGCTGATATGCAATGGTATGAACTGTGAGCAAGCGAGCAAGAGGCTGGAAAACCAGTTGCTAGCTGCAGTTCTGCTTTAGAGCAAGGGAAGAGTTTATTAGCGTTTGATATCGCTATAAACGGATCCCAAGGCTGATCCGCAGTGCGAACCCCGGTGCTCTGAAGTGCAGTCTTGCTCTGAGCTTGCACAAGATCATGGGCAAACCTGGCCTCTTCCTGCTGCTGATCCAGAGCAGCCATGTAATCCCCCAAACCCTGCCTCGGCTCCTGGAGGCATCTGTCACGCCTCTTTCAGGGTACAGGTCTGTTGAGGCTGAGGGTAGCGTTTGTAAATGCTGCCCTGGGACTGCAGTGGGTATTGTCCTCGGCTTCGTGCTTTCATATGGCTCTTTTTGGCCTTTGTCACTCTTCAGGTGCAGACTTACACAGTCAAAGCAAGACTCTGTTGTGGGAGTGCATTGCTTGCAGGGATGGACAGTTTCAAACAGATCGCACTTTGCTTGAAAAACATGAATTCGTGTTTTGGAAGGGCACCCTTACTCTCAGGAAGAAAGGTGTCAGGGAGTTGTCGGCAGTGTCTAGGCAGAAGTTCGTTAGCGGCACAAATGAGTCTGAAGCTAGTTTAGGAGTCAACAGTTAATTCCTTTCCCTCGTTTCACTTCCCGTTTGACTGCAAGAACAATCGAATTAATGACAACGGGAAGGAGTGTGCTCCTAGCACGCATAGTAAACACAGTGCTTCAAAGGAAATGATAAAGAATTATCACGTTTACTTATCGCACAGCAGTAAATATGTAGATGAGGCAGTGCTATATGGTGAGACGAAATGCTAACTGCTTGAATTACTGTGTACTGTACTAAATATTAACACAATGCCAACTCAGCCATGGAGCACAGCTTGTATGTTTTATTGTATGCATTAATACTAATAGAGAAAGCGTCTATTTACTAAGCAAGATAAGAATGGAGGATGCCACACGTGTAATATGGCTGATTTAGCACTGAAAGAAAACATTACCTTTTCAGTTTTTCATTTGGAGTTCACAACTTTATTTAGGGTTCTTGTAACGTTTCTTTGTGTTTAACTTCCTTGATTCTGGGTTTTGCAGTTTCATTTTTTGTTATTGCTTGCTTGTTCTAACCACAAAAGAGTTAAGAGGAGCCTCCAAGTTTCATTTATTTAACCAGTGGAGTTTCTAACTCTCTGAATCACAGATAAAGAGCTAGGCTGCAGCAGTGCAAACCCTCAGAACCCAAAAGTCTTGTGCACCTGAAACTCAGCTGTATCCCAGGAGTTGTGACTGAAGCTGGGTTTCGCTGGAGCTTGTCATGTCCTCAGCTGTGTTACCTGATTAACTCAGAACTAACGAGCTGAAATGGCTCATTGCACAGGTACCACCTGCTAGCCTCACTTGCTGGACTACTTGAACAAGCTCTACCAGCTTTCCAGATGGATCCTGTCAGCATCTTTTTTCTGGAATTAAATGGCCAGTTTCCAAAGTGGAGCAGCCCAGCGGACACGAGCTGCTGTCCTGCTGCTCCGATGCTTGGCTTTTGCAGGCAGTGGGCTCTTTTCCCTCTTATTATCGGGCCCATATAGACCTGCAAAGTACTCTGGCAAGCTCTTAAGCTGAGAGATAAGCAGTGTGCTGAAGTTGCAAACCCACCAAAGTTGGCTCTGCTGTTGCCAAGTTTAAAATTTCTTCTCGCTTCAGATGCCGAGCTAGTAAATGCCAAATAAGTCTTTTGTAGTGAATTACCTGTAATTGCTCCATTAGTGCACGTGCCGTGGCTGTGGGGATCTGGCAGCAGGCGTTTCCTTTCGGAGGCTGCTCTGAGAGAGCAGGTGGTGACCTCTCAACTGGAGCATCGGCTCAGTCACCAGAGCGCTCAAAATAGGGAGAGCCGTACAGGGGCCATGGGGCAGGAGCTCCTCCCCATCCCTCAGTAGGAATGTTGTGGTGGGCAGAGGTCCAAGGCACAGAGCAGGTCTTCCCGAACCGCTCCTGGGGGAGATGAGAGATGACAAGAAGCAAAGCTGAGGTGGGGGAAGGTGGTGGTGTTTGTGGTTTGATCAGCTGGTGACTGTGACGGGCAGCCAACTATGCCTGCTTATGGGACCTGAAAATCTGAACCAGAAGGCCTGGTAATGGTCTTGTAAAACCAAATTTGCTTGAACTGAAATGAAAATGCTTTATCCTTGACAGGTTCTTACAGAAAACAGGTTAACATTCTTCCTTTAAAAAATGCACTATTTAAAGAAAAAAAAAAATCTTTGTTAGCACTTTGAAGAAATTGTGATGGTCTTGGTGTATAGCTTCAACTTGTCTGTTTTTTTGCCACAAGCAAAGTTGTTTGAAAATGTCAAATGAACAGCTTCTCCTATTGCCTTTCATTTCCCTCTTGTGCTGCTGTTCTCGTTCCATCCTGGCGTAGCCTTCCAAGTGAAGAATGTCTGTGCATTTGTGTGCACGCAAGCACATGCACGCACACACAGACAGAGCGAACGGGTTGTTGTGGAAACATGTAGGCTTGCTGGTTTTGCAACAGCCAGAGCAGTACACCTGCGCATTGGTAACTTCATCAGCATGCTGAGATTTGGGCAAGATGGTGTGAAGTTCACTTTGGGCTGTGGGATTACTGACATACATACGTTATTTCTTAGGGAGCTTGATTTGGGAAAAAGGTTCTGTAAGCTGGCATGGTTAAGGATGTTTCAGTCTGTAAAAGTATATAATGTGTAGGCTTATTTAAGCAGCATAGCTAGGGTGCAGAGGCTTTCTTTGACTGTATAAACATTGATTTATTTTTTTTCCCCTCACTCTTCCCCTCTTCTTCTAAAATTGTGGGGAAAACTCTCTCTCTTGGAGATAAAAATTTGCATTCCGGGCTTCAGGCCAAACTATTTTAACAGACAAGTTATATAGTCTCTAGAAAGTAGTTTTTTATGATGGAAACACTGATAGATCCTCCACTTTGGCGAGCTAAGAGGTCCATCTACCATAATAAAAGTAAATAAGACGACATACTGGCACTGAAGTAAAAGGTTGTTTTTTTAAGAGAGTCGTAACTAACTCAGAATCAGTTAAAGTAATTACACTTATCTCTATCATCTGAATTTCTTAAATGTAAGAATCCCAGTTAGGAAAAATAAACATTAGAAGAATGATTAGGCTGAATTTGTTCCTTTTTAACATGACAGCTCAGCTACAGTAATATCCACAGTAAAGCTGCTTTTCTGTTGCTATAGTTTCTGTACCACTGGTTCCCTCTCCAGCATGTGTATCTCATAAATCAGATCGATCAGATCAGGTTCTCTCCTCCCAGGTGCTGAACTACTCTGCCTGGCTAAAATATATATTGTCAGAATGCACAGGATTCATTGTGGGAAGTATGACACATTTTAAGGTGATGGTTTTTCCTTTTCTATCCATTTGTTAATATTGAGGTAGAAGTGTAGGTAAGACTATACCGGACCAGATTGTTCTATTTAGTCTTAAAGCCCATGTATCTTTCAGTAACTTTCTGTTTTTCAAACAGCTGTTTGTGCTCCCTTCACTAGTACTTTTATCCTATTTATGTTTTAGAACAACCCTCTCAACCAGAAATCCTACATCAAGCAGACTTCTTGGAAACAGAGAAGCTACAAACGGTAAGAGCAGCATTCTCCCTCCAAGTTATATGCCTGACAGCTGCCTGAAGTCCCTTTATAGTCAAGATGGAGAGAGGCGATGAACTTAGGCTCAGAGAGGGTGCGTGCATTTGTGCGTGCACGCCTGCCTGCAGGAGATCGTGGTCTGTAGCCAGGCTGAGCACAGAGTAGTTCCCTCACCACTACTCTATTGGCCCTGCCTGATTCTGCAAGCAGACCCACCACCGAACCCTCTTCCAAGTTGTAGCTAAGCCTCACTGATGGGATTTGTCCTATTTAAGAGAAATGGTTAGGGTTAAGCTTTTGAACTTTCTAGAAATTTTTGCCCAAAGCCGCATAAATGAAAATAGAATTACACTAAAACATAGTGGAGAAAACCAGCAAATAATTCCTATCTGTTTTGCAGCTCGGGGAGTGCGTCGCACGGGAGAGTTATCCTGAAGGCAATGTTACGTGGTACAAAAATGGGAGAGTTTTGCAGCCCGTGGATAAAGGTACATTTCAGTAATGGCCAATGTCCCTGAATCCACAGAGAGATGCCTTTGTGAAGAACTGTGCTTGTGAGAGTTGTTTTGCTTTAGTGTAACATACTGTTCCTCTGAGGAAGACTACTGATATGGAGAGACGAAACTGGACAGAAACTTCTAGGCCTTTCAGAGCGTCCAAGCTACACCCTATAATCTGTCTCTTTCGGTTCCAGCTTTAAAACCTCATCATGGCAAGGGTTGCCTTTGTTAATGCTATTGCAAAGTTGTTCTTGAGCCTATGTAGCTAGTAGAAACCTGTATCTAATATCCAACTTCTTATAAGGTATTAACTGTCTCAATCTCACACCTGTCCAATACTGTGTTTCAGACCTTCGGGAACATTGTCTCCTTATACAGGTATTTACTGTCCAGGATGTTTAGGGAAAATACTTTTTTCCCCTCCCTTTCAACTTTGATTTTGACAGGCTGGTCAGACCACAGTATTTTACTTTCCGTAAAACAGAGAATGCTTACAAAATGAAGATATTAAAAATATGATCCTAAAAATTGGTTTTGCCAGCATTTTTGAGGCCTTCTTTCTGGCTTACGAAGTAAGCTGAGATTTATATTAAATAAATCCAATCAGTTTGCAATTAGTTTTTTGATTTGATTTTAAATGTACAGTATGTTAGGAGCATGGTGATAAAATGTTCCTGGTCTACATCAGTGGCAATACTGGAGGAAAACTGTTTATACAGTCTGTTGGGCAATTTGTCACGTTGCTTCCACGTTTGCAGCCTGATAACAAATACAGAGCAGACAAGAAAGTGTAGGAAAAAATGTTGCAAATTCTGTCTGTGTGACACTGAAACAGCATTTCCTTTTCAGTTGTGGTCATAAATTTGCAAAAGACTGTGGACAAATCAACTGGACTCTTCACCATGACGTCATCTCTTCAGTACATGCCAACAAAGGAAGATGCAAATGCCAAGTTTTCTTGCATTGTGACGTATTTTGGACCATCTGGCCAGAAAACAATACAGTCTGAACCGGTTGTCTTCGATGTTCACTGTAAGTTACTAAGAAGCGTCTGTTGCTGTGCAAAGTCTACCTTGTGGGGAAAAGCAAAATCAGAGACGGTTTACAGAATTACAGAGACATTGCTGCTTGGCTGTCGAGACAGTTTCTTCAAAGCTGGTTTGCAGCAAGAAGGTCAGAGTACATTGTCTGTGCAATTTTTACTTATCTTGAGATTTACTTGAGAATTCTTTCTCTCTAACAGTAGAATGCCACATATCAAGATTGCATTGACCAGAGGAAAGTGGTAACTACAGAAAGTTACAGTGGAATGGGCTTTTTAGAACTCTAACAGAAGTTAGAGTGTTGATTAGAGTGACTGTCTGTGCCCTCTGAAATATGCAATAAATACACGATATAGTTTTTAGTATACTCCAATGTTTTTTGTTTTTGCAGTCAGCACCAAATAGCTAATGCGGGCAAGACTGCCTTGCACAAAATGCAGTAGCTTCTCTACAGCTGTAAGATGCTGATTTTTACATTTAAAATGTATCATTTGAATATTGGTAGGCTTTTAAGTAGAGGATTTGTGTAAATAATTACTTCTAGTTGGCTTAAGTCCTAAAGCAACTCCCTTACTGTGTTACTGACTGATGTGGAAATCATAATTCTCCTTTGAGTAAACAAAACAGGCAGTTGGCGAGGAAAGGTCAGAGTAGGTGGTAGCAGTTGGGGGGAGGGGGGAAGAGGTATTTCAAAGTCTTATAAAATGACACTTCTGAAGGACTGTAGAAGGCAGCAGGTCACAGCAGAATGAAGAGAAACAGAAGATATGCAAGATGCCCAGTCAGGTGTTCTCTTCCTATATGCTTCAAGTAATACCTCAGCTTAGAAAAGAGAACACACTGTTTTGGGAATGATAGGGTCTAAGTATACGCTCCAGACATCTGATTGGGTCTTAGTGTATATTGTGTTACAACGCTGTAATCCAGCTGAATACAAGGAAAATCAGGAAGGCACTGGATTTCTCCAGCTAGCAAGCGTGCTCCTTTGCCTTGAAAACGAAAGCTGCAGGCTTGAAAGGGGCAGGGTATGTTCTACCTAGATGATTAGTTGCTTCTCCTTCACAGCTAGAGCTTGTTGAGCAGCAAGGTAGGGGATCAGTTTTGACCTCGGTCAAATCAAATCAAACCTTGGAGCAGTTGCTTCTTGTTTTCACCTGGAGAAGCCAGAGTAAATTAAGGCCTTATTTTCACCAGCTGTTCCTTCAAAATGACAACTGCAGAACTAATGGAGAAGAAAACCTCTGGGACAGTAACCATTATCCTTGGAAATAACATAGAGATTTCAAGCCTGCAGACACCTATCCCATCACTTTAAAGCTAGAGGGTTTTTTCAGGTTTTGGTTTTGCTTTAAAGTTGGGTACCAAATTTCACTGGGGTTTTTTTCTGTCATCTGTGGAGCCCCACGACCGTGAATAACTCCTGCTGTGAATGGCAGCTGTTCACAGCGGTGTTACAGAAGCGGAATGACCAGAAAGCACTTGTTGCTGTTACTTGCCAAGAGATACTCTGCTGTCCCCATTTCCCCACCACTTGCACACATTGGGCTACTTCACCTGTTGAGGAGGAGGCTCTTGCAGATTTCTGTGGTGCGTGCACTATGTGCGCCTGCCATTAAGAACTACCCAACGTGAAGGAAAAAGAAGGCTGCACAGTACTGCAGAACAGTCACTGCGCCAGGTATCGTGTGTGCTCTGTATTAAAGATTTAATGTTTGCTAAACTAGCTCTTCTAATCCTGGTCTAGTAACACACAATTTAATTTAGATAGTTCTTCCTCCAGAGATGGGCAGTATTGTTGTACTGCTCATTAGCCAGCAGTGGGAGGCAGGCACACCCTTCGGTACCCCTGAAGAGGCCTCAAGTATCAATTTTGTTTGGCCTTAGAGTATGGGGTTACCAAATTTCCTTTCTGAGTGTTTTCATTTGCTGTAATTTCCATTCCTGACTCTGCTCAAATGCATCTCCGAATGAATTTTTGAAACTATTAATAGATGTCCAAAGCTTCAACAGATGGATTTCTTAAGTGATGTTAGGTGATGATAATGACATGTCTGATTTGGTTTTGTTTTTAATTTGGTTCAGTGATCCTAATTAGTTTCTTTCTCGCTAAATGTGATTTTATTATGAGTCAGATGTAATGCAGATGAAAAAAAATGGAAGACTCCAACTGTAAGAAACGGTAGTCTTTCTTTCAGCCTTTTTTGTTTTTTTCAGACTGGCTGTCAAAATTCTAATGTTTTGCATCTCTGAAGCAATTAGAAAAAAAAATCGTAAAGACGACCTGCTGTTCCTTCTGGTATCTAGTGAGATTCCTTGCTTCTTACCCATTTATCTTAAAGAAATGGGGAGTGCATGCTTAGAACTATGCGCGCACAAGATTTTTTTAAAGCCTTGTTCAGTCAGAATTTAAGAAATGTTTTACTGGGGTTTTTTTTAGCTCTGGGTCAGTGCAGTCTCTAGTACTCAAGTGTTTAATAGCTGGAAGCAGCCTGCCACTGTAACATAGTGGAAGAAGAAGAGTAAATTAGTTCCTGCCCAGCTGGGTGCTAGTTGGAGATGGGTAACTTAGCTCAGCTAGCAGTAGTTACCAGCACTTAACTGTGGGCTCTGGTTTGCAGCTGTGGCAAGCAAGCTACTCAAAGTAACCAGAGTGATACAAAGGAACTGTTGGAGCTGGACGGTTAGTTGGTATCTCAGGTATCTAAATTATCTAGACTCCAGTTGTGTTGGGCTCTGCTCAGCACTACTCAGTGTGAAAAGATAGTGTTTGTCAGGCAAACTTTGCAGTCGTGCCCTGTTGTTAAGCCTCTCTCTTGTAATGGATAAACTCCTTTACCTAACAGGTTAGACTCAAAGACACTTTGTACTTAATGCTGCTTCCAGCAGTGGTATTTTTCTTAAAATTATGCAGAATTGTGTCAGTCGTGGCCATGGCTGGTCTGGGATAGCAGCGTTCATTTACTAAGTAACTGCCTTTTGGTGCTGGCTCCCGGAATTCTGCACTTGCAGAAAGTGGGTGCAAAGTCTCAGGTTTACAAAAGCACAAGGTAAGATGGGCCGAGCCAGGGGTATGTGCCACTGGGAGGCAAGATGCACCTTCACCAGGCTGCTGCTGTCTGTTAGTGAAAGCAGGGGAGCACATTACTGCTGCTCAGCAGCACTCAGCACTGCATTGAACATGGTGTCTTCCAGTCATCAGGTTGTGTCTTCCTCAGAAGGGTGACCTGTTCCACTTAGAGAACAATTTAATTAGTCGTTTGCTATTTGCTTCTGTAGATTTATTTTTCCTTAGCAGTTCAGAGAATGAAATTAAAAACTTCCTCCTGGTTGATTGCAGTACATAGGAAGGGTAAGATATTTCTATAGGAAAGTTTGGTGGTTTGCATGTGTCATTCTTGTTTAATTGCATCCATTTTTAATCCAGTTCTGTTCATCTCTGTTGGAAAACTTGTTCCAAATTAAAGTCCTAAAGTCTTTCTCATTATAATTCATCCCTTTTCAGTCTTGAAACAAAGCCTAAACAATTGCAGGGTATATCTAGATGTCCTTTATGATAACTTTTCCTTTTATGGTAACTTCTTCATATTTTGTCACCTTCACATAAACTTGACAGAGGGAGAGGTGAGCTCCTGCAGCAGGCTAGCTCACCAGACAGCCCCTGAAATGGGGTTTTTGGCCCAGCAGCCGCCCAGAGGCGTGTGCACATGATTCCTGGCCAGCTGCTTCATCACATCTGTTGTATTCCACAGCAGCAGCGATGCTGGGCTAACCTTTCCTAAGCAGGCAAAGTTGTGCTTCAGCTCTGAAGGTCTTGAGCTGGAAGCTGTTTGGACATGGGAGGGAGCCGAGGCTGTTGCATCTGAAGGAGGGAGGATGTGGCTTCTTGAAGGCTGGTACCACCGCTCCTACTGCTCCTCTGAGGAGGAGTGAGAAGCCGTGTTAGGGCTCTCAGTCACTGAGAGGCCACAGCAGAATGCAGCTCCTGTTATTGAGAAATCCAGTAGCAGAAGACAGACATGATGAATGCCTTAAGGGTCAGAAGGGGCTGTAGAGCACATGCTTCACTAAACACCCAAAATCGACTGTCAGGCAAGGGTTTCTCTGCTGTGTGGATTTTTTTTTTTAGTGTCTAATAGCGTGCAATGTCCTGTGTCTTAATGCATGACTAGCATCTTTGGTAGAATTTTGTTTATTCATTGAAATTAAAACAGTGATAGTTATCTGCCCATATTATTTCCTTTGTTCATTTTACTTTGGTTTTGGAAAATTATATTTAGGCTTCTACTTAGAAAGAATAGCATCTATTAAAGTATACTCTGTCTTTGCCTTAAAAAAATTATCCAAGTAAAATGTAAGTTATAGTTCAACTTCACTGAACATGACAGAAATATGTTACATTTACAGTTCTGTTGACTACGTTAAGGGTCCTATTATGTTCACCAAATTCATCTTTCTGAAAGCCTGTAGTGATCAGCATATAGAATAGGCTGAACGTAGTCGTGTAGTTCATATTTCTTTCTTTTTAATGCAAGAAGGCTATTATCTAGTACTAACGCAAGGCGTTGAGAGCTTCAGTTGTTTTTCTGATTGCTGCAGTCCTTCACATAGTGAGCTTCACAGAGGACAAGTTAATCCCTCATAATGAAATCACACCATGAAACTGTTCATACTGATCAGGGTTTTTTTTCTTTTAAGCACATGACATGGGCGTAATCATTGCCGTTTCAGTTACAGGTATTTTGGCAAAGAAAGATGAATTTTGTATTATATGGCTTCTTTGCACTTACTTCATTTGCAAAAATATAGAAAATGTGATTAACATCAGTTCTATTGTAAAAAGATCTACACCTGCAAATACCTTCACCTGCTTGATGATAAAATTGCATTATCTTTGGCCATGAATATCATATGCATAGTATCACCATGTGGTTTTTTGCAGAAGCTATTAAATGTGTACATTATTTTCACAGATCCAACAGAGAAGGTGACTATTGAAGTGCTGCCACAAAGTACTACTGTTAAAGAAGGCGATAACATCACTCTGAAGTGCTCAGGAAATGGCAACCCTCCTCCACAGGAGTTCCTGTTTTACATTCCAGTAAGTCCTGCCTCACTGTCACTGCATAGTGAAATATTCTGTATCATCCCTTCCTACAGACATCGCTGTGTGTCACTGTATACGTGATTTTATAACAAATGAAGGAAGGAATTCGATGTGACTAAAACTGAAGACAGACGTTGGCCATAATGCCAGACTCTCTGAGAACACCTCACCCAAGTTGGCAAAATATTTTGAAAGAATGTCTCCTTCCCCCCCCACCCCGCCCAAAGTTTTTTGGGGCTTAGATCGGCTAAAAAGTGTTAGGTTTCATTTCCCAACATTCAGATATTTTGATAAGAAGCAGTTTTGACAAAAGGGGGTTTAGCACCTTGAATAAAATCATCTCATCTGTTGTCATAACAGCCAAAGATCCAGCAATGAAAGTACAGGAAATTAATTGAGCTTGTTTTGGACTTTCACAGATGAATCTTTGTGCAATGTCTTTTAATTAATTAATTGTTTGGTGATGTAACAATACAAAGAAGAACCAGTATGACAGCACAGGAGAAAGTGTAGGACAAATCTGTCAAATGCATAAGATGCAAATTGGGAAAAACAGAGACTTTGGTTCCATTAATCTTAGTGTTGGTGAAATCCACAGACAGATGTGGCTTTATATTCTGAGATTCCTAGTCCTGCGTCCCACGTCCTGCTTCCCTCTCTCCTATTTTATATGCCTTTTTTTGTTCTTGCTGCTGTAGTGAGCAGAGCTGATCTTGAGAGAGGCCAAAAACAGTGGCATGCTTTTGCGTATTTCCAAAACTGCATGTCACCCTTTGACCATGTACTTTGGACTCCTGGCATGTTTGAATCACTGAAGAGCAGCAAAAGAAACTAGGAGCTGAAGTCCTCTTCTCTCAGAGCAGCCATTTAGGTTCAGTGAGTCACCCTAAGAACTCACTATACACCAGGGAAAAAGTGTATGGTATCTCTCCTCGCTCCAGGATCACAATGAGTGAGCTAAACACCCCAGTGTGTCTTATTTTAATTTTCCCTGCTACTTGATACTCGTCCTTTCTCTCAAAGAGAGCTGGAATTGGTGGTTTCTTTGCAAGACTTATGGGTGTCATGAGAGACCTGGTAAATCTTTTCCTGGATTCAGAGATACGGATTAGGGTTTCATTCTATGCTTGTTTCACAGCTGATGTAAGTCACTCGGTTGTGATCAGGTGGAAACTGGGGAACTGGACAGCCAGAAAGCAACATTTTCTGGCTAATTCAAAACACAAGTTTCTGTAGGTAGCAGCATGTAAGTCAGTGTATACCCTTACAGGCTCCATTCTATGATATGGATGGAGCAAGGTTTGCTTGCGCTATTCAGAAATGTGTAAGGGAGCACACTATTTTACGATTTTTCCTAAACTGAATATAGCATTTCAGATACAGATTTAGAACCACAATTTATTTTGCTGTTGCGATTTCTCTAACGCTCTTATTTGTAGGCTGTTTTCAGTCTTTTGTTTTCTCCCCATTTTCTTTCTGCTAAACTTTCAGGTTTTGTATTTTAATGTTCTCTTAAAATAAGTTAGTCATTCAATTAAAGAGTAAGCTTTTAATGGTAGGTGTTTTCTAGAACATGTCGTCATGCAGGAAATAAACCTGAACATTGTTAGTAGCAACTACACTTCAATCATGCTGTGTCTATCCATACTTTGGAGTATTTCAGGATCCTTATAATAATAAAAAAACTCGGCAAAAATGTATGTTTTTACCAGGCCCATATACAACAGAAGTTTTATTTTCCATCCACAGGGAGAAGCAGAAGGTATAAGAAGCTCAGATACTTACATAATGACAGATGTGAAGCGAAATGCAACGGGAGAATACAAGTGCTCTCTGACTGACAAAAGCATGATGGACTCGACCATCATCACTGTGCACTGTAAGTCATTGCATTTTGCACTCCTAGTTAGGGTACAAACCTATCTTGCACCTTCTGGGATGGTCTCTCTCTGCTTCACATAGATTAAGCCAGTTAACCTGCAGGAGAACTGAAGGATGTGGTTCGTTTGAAGTAGTGTCAGGTCATTTCTTTTTGTATTTTTTTTTCTCCCTAATGTATTTCTGTTTGAAAACCTTAACTTTCTCAATTCATTGGCTTAGATACAGATTCACTTTATGTAGCCTTTGTATAGTACATGATATTCTTGCACTGCCACATACAGTGAAAATTCTGGTATTTTATGTTTCACTCATGAGAACATATATATGGCAAATTATTCTCCTCCAGCTGTGCCTTAGATTATACTCAAACACACAAACTGGCCCACAGCGATACCACTGAAGGTCATTCTTCATAGTTAAATTCACATTAGTGTAACATCCTTTCATCTTAACTCAATGAGGTTAAGGTAGTCTAGGAAGAGACTTAGGAGTGCATTATGTTCACATAGGGCAAGTTGCTTTTTTCACTTTGCCCAGAAGCACGAGAGCTACAGAGCTCAGTGAAGTTTCTTAAGCTGGATAGTACAGTATTTAGTCACACTTTATCAGCACCACTTTAAAAGCAGCCATTGAACTGGTTGAACCCTTGAAGCAATGGGTGCTTTTCAATGGGTGCTTTTAATCTCTTTATATGAGAAAACAAGAGCAGGAACACTTTCAAACTTTGCAGTACTATCACAGGCTGTGACGTGAGACTCAGTCCAATGGTTCTAGATTTCCCCTAGAAACACTGGTGGTCTGTAGTCTTCCCCAATAGCATAAATACCTTTAATAGTTTACAGGTTCAGAGGGACGTGATGGATAATGAAGTTTAAAGGCTTCCAGACTACTTTACATAAAAATAAATTTCATGTTCATGTACTTGGTTCTGATTTTTTTTTTTTTTTTTTTACCTGGAAGAGGTACAGTGCATGCAGAATGTATCTGTACATGAATAATGACACTGTTCCATTTAATGAATATTTTGTATTTAATAAGGTCAGCTGCTGTTTTCCTACCCACCCCTTCTCTTTGCCGAGAGTCAGGGTATGTAAGATCTGAAGAGAGCTCTCTACTACTGCCGCTAGCTGCCCAGTATCAAAGGCAGCTTGCTGGTAATTTGTTGTGGTATAACTGACCCTTTTATTTTACTCCAAGTGGATTGCACGTCTACTTGTACTTCCATAAATAGTTACTTTGAAGAATGGCTTCCTCAGCTCCAAGTTATTTATAACAAGCCAGTTTTCTTTTCTGCTATTTTGTCTGCATGTTGGAAGAGCTTTCCTACACAAGAGAAGCATGTATTTTCTTGACAGAAGTCCTTGCAGTGTTGGCAGCTAGTGCAGCTACTCAGAACTCGCTGGTACAGTCTAGTACCCTACTGCTTCACTTCACGTAGGGTTCATTTTGTTTTGTTTTTCTTAAACACCTCTATCTGCAATAAAGCCTTTGCTTAGTGAGGCGCAGTGGCCTGGAGTAGTTCTGTAATTTCCTGAATGCCCAGACCTTTGTAGCTCTGTGACGATCTGCCTTAAAGCTACTTCGGTGTCTTGTCTTATGCTGGTTTAAAGCATTTCTGTAGCCTCTCCTCTCATGAGGGGAACGCCTCTGAAAAAGTCGTAAAATCCATAGATCCTTTATAATATCCCCCTCCATCTTCCAGTTGCTTACTTTATACTAACTTCCCAGCATAACTCCCTAATTTTAGCACTTTCTGATTCTAATGTACTTACATATTTTTGGTGTTAGAAATTCAGATTTTTATTTTTATGCCGCCATGATGTTTTTTCCTCTTCAAATAATACTTATTAATGCCTATCAAATCTTACTTTTTCTCCCTCTTCTGCTTTATTGCTTACCTTTCACATATGGATGAATATTTCTGTCTATGCTGTTATGCTGAAAAAACCTTCATTCTGAGTCAGGGCTTTTTGTTTCCTCATGTCTGATCTTGCCACTTTAGATTTTTTCATTTTCACTTAAAAAAAACAACCAACACAACAAAAAACAGGCAATATAATAATTTTAGTTTAAATCTGTGAATCTATTTATAGTACTTGTTACATTTCAACTGTAGTGCTTTTTCCCAAACAGATTTTATTGAGCATTATCATGACACTGGTTCCTTTCAGTGTCTAGGTGGGGAAAGCTTCTTGCTGGTATGAAAATATATTAGCACATTATAGCCCTTAAATATTTTTGTAGCAAAATATTCTGGCTCAATACCAAGCTCTTTTTTTCCAAGGTAAATGTAAATTATGAGATTCACAGAAAGCTGAAAATTGACATTGAAGCATCTGAGTTACCCATAGTGTTTAGGGAAATACTTTGTTTATAAAGCAAATTGAGGGGGGAAGAAAAAGTCTGTTCGTTACCCACAGAACGTAAGGGACAAACTGGGCTCTTGTCCCTCAGAGCAGGCACAGGATCTGTGCAGCAAGGTCCCAGTTTGAAGTCAGGCAGAACTGAGTGCTTGTGGTTGGCATGATTTATCCCTTAACAGCGGGAGCAACAGAACAGGATTTATGTTGTAGGTTTGGGTTTTTTTACACTAGGTCATTAATTTTCTGCCAGCTCTGTGCCTGGAGTGAGTTTGCCCAGGATTGGGTGAGCAAAACTGGCAGAGGCCAGGAAGGAAAAAAGGAGGGAGCCAGGGCAAAATCTGTTTACAACCACTTAAACTGCTATAGAAGCACACGCCGCGCAAGACAAGGAAAGCACCTAGCAGTAGAGGACAGCTGTACCTTCCCTCAGCTATGAAGAAGCAGGTGACTGTTTCAACCCACAGGCCCTTTTCTTTCTCTCTTGCTAGAATTGTTTCTGCACGTACAACCTGGTACGGAGTAGGGCTGTGGAACGTCCTCTTAGTGACACTTTCCTTTCTGCTAAAATGTGTTTTCTGGGAAAATAGATTTGCAAACCTTCCAGTAAAGTAAAGGTTTTAGAAATTTAGCATTTGTGTTTCTCCATAGGTATTTTTTATAGTCTTTTCTTGTGCTACAGACTCGTTGAAAATACAGGGGGAATCACCTTTTGAATGTTGCAAGCGAAAAAAATCTATTCTCAGTACACTAGGAGAAGTTTCTGGTTGTCTGCTACTTTATTTGGGGAGTTCAGACTACAGGCAAGTGCTGTACATAGTTTTCCCAGTCGTAGCACAGTATTCCATCAGAGGCCTCCTTTAAATGCTGGGAGCCCGTCCTGTATGTGCAATAGAGTTTCAAAACCAAAATGTTTGCTCCAGTCTTCCCCACAGTAATTCCATACCTCTCTTGCATGATGTGGTAATACATAGAGAATGCATTCGTTGGTTCTTCCCTGTGCTACTTGGTATGCAAAGACAGCACTGAAATCAATGCAAGACTTCAAGTGAGACCACATTAAGAGCTAGTATATATTGAAAATGGTGCCTGATGAGAAGTTTGTTTATGAAGAACATTTTAAAGCCAAACGGGAAATGTATGGAAAATTCTTGCAACAAAGTTCTTCTTTCAACGGCAAGGAAAATGAATTTTGACAGTCTTCTCTATGCAAGAAATATCTTCTCCTCATACTTCTATACCAATAAGAGATTATTTACTAATGGACCGTATAAGTTGAGAGGTAAAAGTATCTATGTCATGTTTCTTTGTGGACCCTACAGATAAACAGGCAGAATATTAATCCAAATAAAATTGCTCTATATAGAGTTCCTAGAGGGGATCCTATGTTAAACGGTAGCTTAATTCTGTACTTGCCTCATAAATCACCTTACAAACACTGCTCTGAGCTATGCAGCTCATCTCACACGCTGTAAATTTTCTCAAACTTGTATAGTAACCAAGACCACTGTGTGCGAGGGATTGTAGTCTCAGTTATACCACAAAAAGGGGAGAGGTGGGGGGGCGCAGGCATGCTACGCTGGAGGAAGGCTGGGTTGAAGGATTGCTCTGGGCTCAGTGTCAGTCTTCCTTGAGATGAAGACCAAAAATTTAATGAGTTTCTGCTTCCTGTGGCGTATGTGAGAGGAATCCCTCCTGTATGGTCTTTGGTGATCTCTTGGGTTTGAGGTGCTATCTTGCTTCAAAGAACAAAAGGTTAAGTAGATATTGAAGGAACGTCACCCTGAGGGGAAGGGGAAAAAAAAAGAAACTTACCTTTTTCTTCAACCACCCCTCTGCTTTGGTAGTGTGTGCTCAAGAGTAGCAGAGCAAGAAGAAACACATCCCATGCACCCACCTTAATCTATATACAAATGCTCACTGGCTGAGTCTTGTCTTTTTTTTTTTTTTTTTTTTTTTCTTCTTGTGGAAGCAATGGTAACATCTGGAGAGCCTTGTTACTTGGGTTGGATTTACTAGTTTGGGGAGGCAGGGGGAGAAATCCCAGTAGGGATACAGAAACAAAATGCCATTTTATCTCTTCGGTAAGATCTTTGCTTTACTCATGCGCAGATGAAAGTACGTTTTTTTGTGACCTCTCGGACTAGGCATTAGACTCGTAACTCAGATAATAATACAGACTAATAGTACAGGATGGACCCTAGTTGTTCCCTGAAGTTCTGCCTCTAATTATAATGGTGTTCCCAGGGCAACCACTGAATGAAGCCAGTAGCGAAGTTCAATGTTTTGTTAAGGAAAACTCACTATTTTCGCTTTTCCCTACCAACTGCGATTTTGCCTTAAGCTTTTTTTAAACTCTGCTTAAAAGCCAAAAGGATCTTTTGCAGTCCTTTTCCAGCAAGTACTATATTTGTGATGAAATCATGTGGGCTTGCCATTTCAGTCTGTGTGTGCCTGTGCATCTGTGATAGTCATTCAAGCAGGCAACTTGGCTTACAAGCAAGGCACTGTGAGAGGGGAAGCAAAATAGAGGTTTAGCTTGGCAAACTCTGCTTTTCTTTCAGTGTAGGGTTGGTTTTTTTTTTCTTCTTGAAAAATAAATGGCTAGCCCACCAAATCCATATACGAGGAAGAATCTAAAGCAGTGTTTCCTGACCTTTCTGTTACTGGCTCTCACCCTGCCGTGTGTCAAACACAGCTATCGCTGACTCTGCAGTTTCTCTGGAGCCAAAACAGATCAGGCAAAGCTTGGACTCTGAGTTACACCAAAATGGCTTTTTAGGTTACGAATGAAAACAAATAAATCAAAGGGCCTCATAGGTGGCCCCCCAACCCTATAACTCAGACCCCTCACCCCTTCAGTCAGTATCAAGTCACACGCACCCTGTACTGACCGTCCTTATCCTCTCCAGATGCTGAGGATAAAAATCAACTTCTTTTATCGGATTTGAGAAAGTTGCCCCATTATCCTCCTATCCTCTTCCCCACACTTAGTTTCAGTTAATCTGTCCCCACCTGCACGAGTCCTCCCCTGAAGATAGGTTCCTACCTGGCACGTGGCAAGCTACCCGCAGAGCAGTCTGTGCTTCCTCTTTCAAGATGCACACGCTGCTATGTGAAGTACTCGTTCAGCTGCTTGTACCTCCTCTGTCATTCTTTCAGCAGTACAAGGGGAAAAAAATGTATCCATTTGTCTAGTGATTAGTGAGTTTTTGCTTTTCCTTTTACCCTGTAATTACAGTAAAAACGTGAATGTTCTGCAGTGCCTATTTTAGACTAATTCTCTCTTCTCCCTTGTAAAATTGATTTAGATTTTATTGAAGAACTGAAATCTTGAATTTAATGAGTGCAATTAGTCACATTTTCTTTTCTTGGGAAGCCTTTGAAATGGGCCAGGCATTCTGAGATGAACTTTTGACAAATGTTCTTTCTATCCCAGATTTGGATTTGCAGCTTACTCCTAGTGGAGAAGTCACCAAACAGATTGGAGAGGACCTGCCTGTGTCATGCACGATTTCTTCTAGTAGAAACGCAACTGTGTTTTGGATAAAGGTTGGTAATTCTTCTACTTCACACTTCATCTGAGCGTTCACCTCTTCATATTACTGCTGCTACTTCAGTGTTTTGGTTTGGAAGGAAGGAAGGAAGTCATTCATTCATTGGGCTTTTTAAAGAATATTGTTAAAATTAGTCTTACACATATTGCTAAAATGAGAGCTACTGACTGAAGCTGATGACTGAAAATCAGTTACTGTAATTATCAGCTCAGTTTTCAAATGGAGAGAAGTAATGCCTGCTGTAAAACAAATACAGCTTTTCTGAAACGGTCTATACAAGGCCCTTCAAGAATCAGATCCTTCTAAGAAGGAAAGCCCATTTGGAGGAATTTGGATTCATTAATCGTTTTCTCAGAGGCAAGCTTGGTTTTGGTTCCAGTACACATAATGAAATGGTAAGGCAGGTTGAGAGATTGGATGTTAGCAACTGGTGTTCAGTGGTTGCTGAAAAACGTAGCTATCACACATGGTGTGTTTAAATTAAACCTGTGCAGCTGGAAACAGAAAATAATGATACCTGATGGTTATTTAGTAGCATAGGTTGATCTCATAAGCTTTGTTCCTAGAGGAGAGTTGTCTGTCTCAAACGGCTTGTACCACTCATGGTTTTGTCTAGCCCACTAGAAAAGCTCAGAACTAACAAGTGATCACATCTACGGCCTTGATTTGGAAGTGAAGTTGTTCAAGAAGAAGGGAGGTGGCTTTCACAAACCTCCAGTAGTTTGTCAGCTATTCAAATGTAGTGATTAATGGGGGAACGCTTTTAGAGTGAGGCTGTAATCGACCAAAGCATGTGAAAAATTCTGTTGGTAGTAGTCACATTTGTAATTTAGAGGTTAATGTATTCAGAGATTAACTCCTTACTTTATCAGGACAATACCAGAATGCAAACAAGTCCATCATTTTCAAGTCTTCAGTATCAAGACGCTGGAAACTACATCTGCGAAACTACTCTACAGGAGGTTGAAGGGTTAAAGAAAAGAAAGACACTTAAACTTATTGTGGAAGGTAAGGGAGCAGATAGCTATGATTTATTAATTGTTCTTTTCAAACAAAATGCTTAACTGTAATATTGTTCTTGTAGGAAAACCTCAAATCAAAATGACAAAGAAAACCAACACAAATAAAATGTCTAAAACAATTGTCTGCCACGTGGAAGGTTTCCCCAAACCAGCGGTGCAATGGACAGTTACTGGTAGTGGAAGCATCATAAATAAAGCAAGTATCTCTCTTACTACTTTATTCACCAAAAGATAGGGGCATAGGAGATGCGATTTAAAATCAAGGAACATTTTCCAGCCAGTGAGATTGAAGAAGCTAAGTCTATTCAATTTATCTAAGAAAAGGTTAAGTGGTAGCTGTAGCTACATGGTACTTCCATGGATGATTTCTGATGGTAAAGGTCTTTTGTATAGAGCAGGTGAAGGCACGGCAGATCCACTGGCTACAAGCCGAAGCTGGAAGGAAAAAGAAAAGGTTACAAATGAAATAAGCGTTTTTAAGTGGGGGTACTTAGTCATTTTATCTGGGTAATGTGGTGATTTTACCATTTCATAAAGAATTTACAAATAATGATGGAACTATAGAACTTAAATTAGAAAGCAAATGGGTACTTGATACAGGCATTAACTGAGTGAAATGTAATGAAATGTGGCAAGTGCATGTCAGAAAATACAGTCAATATAGTTCCTTATGGGCTTTGCAGTTTTTATCCTAATTTTTATAGTCGTTTCTGTATGTTTATCCTACTTGTTTCTTACTGGAAGCAGAGCCATAATGCAGTCGTCCTGGGGGAGAAATAAGGAGTACCCATACGCAGCAGGAAGAATACCCGGAAAAAAGCAAACTGAAGTGTTTTCGTATTGATTACTGAATCACATGCAAAGCATCGCCACATTTTGCCTTAGCAGGAAAAATAAATGCCATCTATACAAGCAGTCAGAGACTGGAATTACAATGCACAGTGCTGCTGTAGATTTCATTACTCCATTAGGTTTTGTTTTAATCCTACAGAAATTATGTATAGCTGTCAAAAGTTGTTCATTTACTTGAAGTTATAGGGCAGGAATTGTCTTGAAGCTATATAAATGACTGAAAATAATTTTCTCTGGACATTGTATTAATCTAAGAGTGATGTACTGCAAATTTAAGGAACAACTTCGCTCACTATTACAGGACAGATACTGCAGGTACTACTAAATATATGTAGCTTGGCAAAATAATGCTTAGTGTGGAAATAACTTGGAATGCCAGAAAGCGGAAGATTTACAGTGATTATTTTCCTTATAAAGACATAAATGAAAAAAACAGCAAGGTGGAAGAAATGAGAACTTAGAAGTTTGGGTTTTCTTTCAGAATTCTGTCCCTTGGAATATTTTTTAAATAGTCGAAAGAAACAAAAGCAAATATAGAATGTGGTGAACTTTCTCAAAAGTGCCTCTTTATCAGTGGTCTTACAGTGCACGCTACGCACAATGTAGCTATGACTGGATACGTTGGCCAAAGTGTTTTCTTGCAAATCCTCACATTACCATTTAGTAAAATAATGCATTATTTCTATCGTTATTGTTTGGAGGACTGAAATATTAGTTGAAAGTTATTTCCCTCTGAACATTTTCAGTATGTAATGCCAGCAATGCATGTATTATTCTTTGCATTTTTCAATCTTCATTTTTTACCTTTTCAGACAGAGGAGACCAAATATGTTAATGGAAAATTTTCCAGTAAAATTGTAATTGCTCCCGAGGAAAATGTGACTTTAACTTGCATCGCAGAAAATGAGCTAGAAAGGACTGTGACCTCCCTGAACGTCTCTGCTAGTGAGTGTCTTCTAGAGAGCGTTTCCTTAAAGTCATAGTTTCACATAAAGTACCCACACTTCACACTCATATGAAGAGTAGGTCTGTATATTAATGCTGATGCTGAGATGTTGAACCTTTTTGTCTTAAGTCAAGCAATTGTAAATCCAGGCTGGATCAGTAGTACATAAAATTTATTGATAGCTTTCTGGATGAAGTCACTTCATCTTCGTGACTTTCTTGGCTAGCTATTTCATGTATGCAATATCTTATTTACTTTTGCAAATAATACTACAACGTAATCATGCAAAATAATACTTTTTTTTTTTTTTATGAAGACCGAAGTCTTTATTACTAAATTAACATCATCTTTTAGTTCCCAAACTCCAGTTCGTTATTACTGGTATGACTTGATTCAGAACAGGAACCAGCCATACTGGACTTTAATCAAATATAACTTCAGTGATGAAAGGTTGTGGAAGGGTAGGTAGCACAGAAATACTCAGTCAGAAACGTTTCTGAGATTAGTATTACAGGTTTTGGATAAGATTCTTCAATTAGATATTTAATAGTTGCAAGGGAAAGACTTCTGCTTAAAGATTAATTACCTTGTTGTTTGGCAACTGCTGAATTGAGTTTCAGTGTTTCTGCCATTGCTGTAAATAGAATCATAGAATGTTTTGGGTTGGAAGGGACCCCTAGAGGTCATCTAGTTCAACCCCTGACAATAGGCAATTAAAGGTGATGTTTAGGTATAATGCATTTTGTCTTTAATTTAATTTTAACATTTTTCATTTCAGTAAGTATTCCAGAATACGATGAGCCAGAGGATAGAGGTGGTATGTATGGTTTTCTGTCTCTGTAACCCTTTCTGTTGATTGTCTCAGTTCAAGACCCATTTAGTGTCACTGAACGATTTCAACAGTCCCTCAAAGCTGGACTTCATTTGAAATAGCCAGTGCTGTGATTGACTAAGAGTGTGACTTTTTTTAAGATTTAAATGTGGTTTTCAGAACAATGCCTACTTTTTTTTTTTTTTAATTTTTACTTTCTGACCCCTTTTCTTGTTTCTGATGGAAATTCTTTAGAAATGGTATTATGCTTTGCTTTATCATAGGTCACCTCATTAACTTTTCTTCTTTGCTTCAGATGACAATAGCGAAAAGGTTAATGACCAGGCAAAGCTAATAGTGGGGATTGTAGTCGGTCTTCTGCTGGCTGCTCTGGTTGCAGGTGTTGTCTACTGGCTCTACGTGAAGAAATCAAAGTAAGAATTTATGGAAAACTTGATACTAAATTTAAAAAGAAGAAAGATAATCACAAGCAGACATGTATGTTTACCAGTTTTCCTTCCTGCAGCATTCCAGTAGTCTGAGTGGGGAAAAGCTGTTGTTACAGTAGGTGCATTTACTAGAGAAAGGAAGCTCAGTACCTCTGATCAGCTTGTCCTAATGCTTAACAAAACGCATCTCCTGGAGGTGGGACTCCAAGACTTTTCATAGATCATCACCTGTAATGAGGTTCTGTTTCCTGACAGCCAAGTCTGTGCCGATTCTTGCATTTAAATATAATACCTGCTAATTAATTGGGATATTACCTCTGTGTGGCTTTACTGGCACTAGAAACTGTCTTCATTTAGAAGTTAGGTAGCTCATTCGCTTTAAAAATGGAATAAATTACAGAATAAGTCTAAACCATCTCAGGGAGAAGAGATATCCTTAATTTCTTCATGTATAGTTTGGGATCTCTGAAGTTAAAAATGGTAAAGATAGACCTTGTGTTGCTGAGAACCTAGAAGCTATCATCCGAATCAATACAATTTAGACATCCTAGGCATAGAACAGGATTTCCCAGTGAGTCTTACTTGCTTTCAAGTTTCTTTATAATCACACGGGCTCACTTTAGAAAATAAACTGGATGATCTCAAAAAGTAACCATATTTCCTTTTAAAAATGGCCATGACTCTGCATCATTTGGCCTTATCCCCATACATTTGTCTCCAGGGAAAACTGAGGGCAGGCTTGTTCCTTCTAGCTGCTTTTTAACAGGGAAGATTAAGGTAGTTAAGCGTGACATGCACAAATCAGTACAGGTATAGAAACAATCTTAAAGTTCAATTGTTCTTTCTATGACCTTTCATTAAAATTAGATGAAATGAGATCTAAAATATACCAGTGGGATTTTACTATGAACAAATGTGTTTGCATTGATGTGAAAGTACAGCAAGGAATTCTCCATCTGCTTGCAGACACTCTTTTTTGGGTAATACATAAGGATTTTACTCTAGTCATAATTGAGAAGGTTTTGGGAGTTTTTCAAATAGAGCTGCTATAAATTACCCAAGCACAGAACCACATTCAGATATTATACAGGGAAAAAAAATGGTAGAAATTAAAAAGTACTAATCATGTTGAGCTGCTCCTCCCACAGTTTGCTGCTAGTGTAATAATGTCTAGAATCGCTTTCTTTTGTCTTTCCTTTTGGATGTGAGAATGTGGAATCATGAAACTGTGATTCACTGATTTGGGTTTTTTTGGAAAAGGTGGTTTGGGTATAAGGAGGGCAGAAAAGATGGACTTATCTTTTCTTGTACCATTATGTGGTGTGGGGAGAGCTAACCAGAATCTTAGAATGTAGCATGTCCTTTGTTGAGATGAGTTTGACTTACTTAAGGTAACTTTTTCAGCTTCAAAGATAGGATACAACATATTTTAAATGCACAACACTTCCTTTCCTCATGCTTAACTTCTCTCCTACAAGCTTAGAGTAAAAATTAGAGCTGGAATTGATCGGACAGGTTCACTGGGAAGAAAATAAAAATTCCTTTATAGTTAAATAATAGTCTTCGTATATGATACATGGTTGCTGGCCTCTGAAACCCTTAATTGATGCATCACCACTGACAATCTCCTGTTCTCAGCATATACTTAAGTTGTTCTGTTGTTACCCTCCTTGCTTTCTGCACGCCGTACTTGCAAGAGCAAGCAGCGTGTCAGTACCTATTCTGACAAAGTTTTCAGCACAAATTATAGCCTCGAAATCGAAGTAGACCTTGAAAAAACCACCCTGCACCTTTAGACACAACATGTGTCTCATCACAACCCCTCCATCTCCATACAGGCCAACAGTGTTAGTAGTTATTTTTTGAACCCACCCTTGAACAGTAACTCACCTAATCTCTATCCCCAAAGTGACGCCAAAGGAAAGTCTGAGAAGGCAGCAGCACAGAACTTTCCAAGTCTGCCGAGGCAAGAAAAACATTACTTTTTTTCATTATTGGTGTTGTGGTTTGTATAATCTTCTATTGTCTTGTCATCCACACAAAGTAGGAATTATACTTGTAGCCTTGGAATATATTCACAATAAATCACTTCTGTAGTTATTCACTGCCTCAGCTCCACTTGATGCAAAAGCTGATTATCGCCACACATTCTTTTCACTATGAATATTATCCTGTAAATCAGGGACTCATCTGTATTCCACATCCTGCAACCAGCCCCCTCTTGAATAGAGTTGAGGCTACCTGCCCTAGCATGCTATGTTTTTCCTTCATCTGAGCAGAAGGCCAAAGACTTGTTTTCTACAGATTTCTCCTTTTTCCAAAAAGGTTATTTTAAACTAATTTGCACCAAACAGAATATAACTTAGCTCTTTCTAAATTTTTGTGTCAGACCTCAGGTGATTCCAGGACACCCATCTTCAGTAAATCCTTCATATATGAAATTTTCACTTTGCCAGAAACAGCTGAGAGTACAGCACAAATTAAAGGTTTAGAAAGAAAATAATGCACCCAATACCTTGTATCCCTGTTCTCTAGGCAGGGAAGTTCTGCGTGTGGATAGGACCTTTGTCCCATTTTTGCTCCTTGGGTTTGGAGGTACACAAATCTCAAGTCACACGAGGCTAGATCAAGGTTAAAGTGGTTTAAAATGCAGTGAGGGAAAATTCAGCCGGGCAGATTGAAACACAGCAGCAGCCTTAAAATTGTTCATACTCAGAGCACACCAAACTCTTGAAATTGTTCTTAGGTCGGAGTAATCAAGAATGTTACTAGTGTCTCTGAAACGGAACGCTTGAAGCATAACAATTGTGCTTTTCTGATACTTTATAGGAAACCAGCATATGAATCCAAATGTGGCAGGTCAAATACTTGCTGTATTATGTTTTGAACGAGACTCAGCATTTGTATTGGGATTTGTGCAATTACCTTCCAGAGAAAAGACAAAGTTACAAACATCTCTGAAAACATCAGCTCATGTCACAAAACGTCTGTAAAGTGGCACAAATTAAACAATGGTCACTCATTTCTTGATGACTGGAATACTTTTCTGATATCTCTGCAATTTTCCTGCTAGCAAGACGGACGGAAATAGAAAAAGGTTGCAAATAATCCAGAATTGGATATATAAGACTGTTAGGTCCTAGAAAATCTTCTGCAGCAGTGCAGTTGAGTGTCTAACATGCCTTTCAAAAGTAATACAAGCGTTAATGAAATTCGTGGCTCTTGCTTCAGCACCCAGAACTGCACCTACAAGTAATTCTCCTACCTGTCGTTATCTCAAGCTTGGGTAACGAGGAGAAAGAGCACTGCAGATTTTCTTCCTTATTCAGTATTGATGGTGAGGCCTAGACTTGGGAGATAGATAGAAAGAAATCAGGAATTAAAACCCATCAGCAATTTTTGAGTCATCTATATGCAGTCTATGTCTACAGCAGGCAAAACAATTGAGATGGAAAGTGGTCTTTATGTTGAAAACAATGCTGTGAACAGTATCCAAACAAAATCCGTGAAAACAGCAGCCCCTCAGCACATACACACCCTCCAAAGAAAGCTGAAAACCTCACTTTGGTACTACTTACAGGAGAGATTTTGATTAGGATTACCTGAGAATAGCTATTTTCCTGAAGAGCAAGCATGAGTGAGTGTAAAATACGAGTCATAATTTTAGCAAGAGCTCAGAATGATCCACGTTTTACAAATGGATTTAAAAAAATAAACAGCTGAGAGACTCGGCTCATACTCACACAATCCACTTCTCACTCTTCAGAACAATACGGCCAGACAGTGCTAAGGCGTGGGCTTTGGTTGTGGAGCTGTAGATAAGGTGAAGGTGTGCGGGAGGGCCCGGGCCAAGCGGGCTGTCTTGCCCTTTTCAGCAAATCCACTGGAATGTTTCCATCCGTCCGGACCGCACTGCCCAGCTGCTCCGCTATCATCAGGAAGTCGCTCTTGAGCTGCAAATGGAGCAAGCTGTTAATGCAGAAAAAAAAGTAAGGCACAACTGTGGTTGAATGTTAAGCTGGCAAAGGGCCACTGGTCCTGTGCCTCAAGTCACCTCAGGAAGCGATGGAAACCATGTTTTGAGCCATTTCTCTGTTACAAACCCAGGCCACGTCTGTCGAGCCCTGAGGATTGGTGCCATGCCAGGGTCGTCTATTCCTCTGCTGTCGGCCAGGGCACTGCCAGTGGATCACGCTGCTGCAACTCAGTGCAAAATTCCTCTTCTGTCTTTTAATAGCACTACTTAGATTAAAAAAAGGCAGCAGTATTGCTTGTGCTGAGGTGGTAAATCTGCCTAGATATCAGTACTTGGGCAACAAAACAACAACAACAACAAAAAAAGCCATCAAGCTCACCAAACGGCCAGAATTAAACTGCTGTATTTTAGTCTTGGGCACTGAGAATCTAAATCTGTCTGACTGTCAGACATGAAAAACTGCTGCTGCTCTCATTTAAAGCAACCGTCCTCCAAAAGAGTTCTGGATTGCCTGCCTTTTAAATCTCCCTTTTTCCCCCATTTTGGCTTTAGGAAAATAGAGGTGAAGAGGTGATGTTTAGCAAGGAGAACAGTTTCACTGAATGCAGAACTAAAATAGAACACTTCAAAAATCAAAACCCGATCGCATTGCAGAACCTCCCAGGTTTCGTCATTGAACAATTTTAACCTAATCAAAAGACCAGTAATGCTAGTTAGAGTTCCCACCTCTGTTAAGTGTCAGGTCTTGTGAAATCCAGTCTGCTTTGGGCACTGTAAAACTCTTGATAAGAGGCCAAAAAAAAAAAAAAAGGATCACATTGAGCCCTGCCCGTAGTCTGTCCAGGCCGCGCTCTTGTCTCCAAGAGCAGGCGTAAGCGGTTACACGAGGGCAGGTGTGCACAGTTCTGCTTTCTCACCTCCAACTCGTTTCATCTCAGGTGATTGCCCGAGTCCAGATTCTTTCAGCTTTTCATCTCTTTTCCTTTCCATCTCCAATTTTTCAAGAGGCGCGTTAGCCACATGACAAGCCAGATGCTGTGCTCTACCTAAACTGAACATTTTTTTTTAATTTAAAAAAAGAAAAAATTCTTAATTTTTAAGGGATTTGTTTGAGGGTTTGTTTCTTCTTTACTAGGATTAAAGAGATTTGTGAAAGGTTATTAAGATCACAGAAGGTCAATCCCTACCAAAGCACTGAATTTTCTTCTGCGTGGCATCTTACATCCTTTCCTTCTGTGCACATCAGGTGCTTCAGGTTTTGAATACCAGAAGAAAGTAGAAAGTTACTGCACAATAGAAGTTTACCACTGTAGGACAAGTTACTTTGTGATATAACATCAGCATTTTAAAAATAAAATTTGCCTGCGATAAGCAGAAGTTTGGATCTTTGCAGTGAGTGGGTTTTCAGCACAGACACACCTTGCTGTCAGCCACACAAACAGAACAGAGGCACTCTAAAACCAACAGCTAAAAGGTAAATACAGCTTTGAAGCATTAAAACTTAGAGCCCTTGAGGAAATAACCTACTGTAAAACCGAAAAGATTTTAGAATGGCCCCATTCAGAGTAATGGGCGGGATTTGGGGCCCAGAATCCCATGCCCCCCGGCACTCCACCTCACACGCTGCTCCCCAGCCCAGAGAGCAGCATTTCGGCAGCGCTGCCAGAAGCGTTGAGGCTTGGGTGCGTTTGCACCCCATCAGAAGCTCTTCTGAGACAAGAACTAAACTGTACTCTCCTAACGGTACCGGTCGAGGCTACTGCCACTCGGGGCACACGCAGTGCTTGGCCACTGGCTGGCGGCCTTTGCTCAGATGGAGGACGTGCACAGAAACACTCCGCTAGCAAACAACACTCAGAGCAGCGGGTTTGGGAGGTACATACCTGCATGGTGTCAGCGTGACATGTCACACTATCTTGCTAACCTGTGTCTTCATTGTATTTTGCCAGTCAGTGTCACTACGGGTCTTTACCCTGAAGCAAGGGTGAGCATATGCACGAATCTGTCACAACAGACGTTACTTTTCTGTAGGGGAAACAAATTATCCGTAGAGAAAATGCGTATACAATAATCTGCTTTGACACAAGGGATTTACTTTGTCCCACTCAAACACGTTTGCCCATTTGCATTTTAAAAATTGTGGCCTTCAAAAATGTTATCGCAGCACTGCAGGAATCTTTCACCTTGGCAGACAGTGAGGCTTCTCACACGTTAAATGAATGGCTTAGCAGTTCTTATTGTGCTAAGCTAAACTAAGCACTTAACTCATTAATTCATCTCCACTACTTGCATTAAGGAAGACCTGCTGGTTTAAATGAGACATACCTCTTTCCCCCCCCCGCCCAAACATTTACACAATCTCTTCTTTACCCAAAACTTGTCAGGCATAGCCAGCACAGATCTGGAAGCCGGAGTGGGGTTTTTTCGGTGTTGCCAGAATTTTCATTAATTTCTTCACAGTTAAAGAGCCTCCGTTTGGCACAGGCTCTGAAAGTCAATTACTACAAGTACACATAAGAGTGCTGTGTTGATCAAGATACCTCAGCCACACTTACTTGTAATGTTTTAGTACGCCTTAAAGCAAACTCTTGTTTATTGAAACAAGTTACGCAATTAATACGTCAAGAAACACGGATCTGCGCGACTGGTTTAACCTTACTAAATGTCTGCTAGCTCAGAATGATTATGAATTCCTCAAGAAGTAAAACACACATACACAGCCCTACTGCGGTGCTTCCTGTGGTCCCAGCTCCGGGGGGGAACTGGTGCTATTGGTATATACGTACAGCCATATGCAAGCCTATTGCTCTGCCCAGACCAGAACCGTGAGAAATGTTATGTATTACTGAGAGGGGAGTAGACTGTCATTAATGTGAGGATGGAACAAAATGCTGTAGACCTGTAAAAATGACGTTAATTTTTCATTATAGGACAGCATCCAAACATGTAGACAAAGATCTTGGAAATATAGAAGAAAACAAAAAACTAGAAGAAAACAATCATAAATCTGAAACTTAAGAGACAAAACATGTCAGTCATCATTCCAGGTACGTGTTTCATTGTTTAACACCTCTTTGTCCACCATTTCTCTCTAGTGATCTGTGTCTGGCAATCACAGTGGTAGCTTGGAGCCTGTTGCTCACCTTTCAGAGGTGAGGCTGGAGTGGAGTGATTCTGAGCAGTGTAGGATTAGGACAGACTCACTCAAGCCCCTGGGCCAGTTAAGAATTCATACCTGTATACGCACCTATTAAAGCAGCCTGGCATTTAGACATAAATTAGTACTTGGCTTTATTTTAGTCCACATACACACTCAGGGAAATGAAAATACAAATTTGTATAATGTGTCGCTGCGGTGTTGTGTGTGTGTGTGTATATATAAAGAGTATGTCTAGGTATAGTTTAGAAGGTTTTTGAGCTATGACTCAAAATGTTTACAGGAACCTTCCTCCCTCAACAACAGTTTCTAAGTTCCTGGTCAGCTTTATTCATAGTCACCGCAAGAGGCGTGATGCTTCCCGTGGAACAAAATCATTCTTCTACTCAAGATTTCACATACTCTTGCTATTACTGATTTTATCTTGGAAAGAGACACTGTATATTAAGTTAAGCTAGTAACAGTGCAACAGGTACAAAAGTTTCCCCAGCTGGGATCTAGCTAAAATAAACTTTATGCAAATAACGAGGTAGATGCAGAAGTTCTGTAAAGCACCAACAGCACCACCCGGTGTTCACATAGATATACACCGCTGCTGCATATGTATGTGCCACTGCTGCGTCTCTCCCCTTAGTGCCCAAAGTAGGGGTTTAGACCATTTTTCAGACCAACTAAGGCCATTTTACATGAACACTGTGGTAGCACGCCAGTGTGGAAACCAGCTAAACTGTACTGGGGTTTCTTGACTGAGTCATCAACTCTTCTTAAAAATGAGAGTAGTAAGCGTTCAGTGGTGGTGCCTTGTGAGTGGAGTTACCACATTTCATATTGAGGTTTTAAAAATGTCTTATTTAAATAAAGACAGCTCTCCTTAATAATTTCAATATATTAGTGTTGTCTGAAATTTTAAAAGTACAAAGCCCTATTTTTGTGCCAAATACTCAGAAATCACTAGGTAGAGTGCCTATATAGCATATAAAGAGATGGAGCATCGTGGTTTGCACTTCGCTGGCCATAGCACCATTTCACTAGTTTGAAAGAGGGAAACGGGAATATCACCACTATGCCCTATGAATGACTTCAAAGTGGAAAACAAATTTGGATCTTGGAAAAGTTGCAGTGTAAATACCCAGCATTTCTACTGCAATTCTACGGGAAAAATCTGTAAGCCTTTTTGGCTGCTTCTGTATTTTTTTTCCCCGACCTGGTACCTTCTGCAACACTGCAATATTGAGGTGATTAGATGGAGCTGAACTTAGCTGAGGGTATTTATTGAATATAGGAGTTCAAATACTATCATGTGCCTCCAGTGCAACCTTTTACTCTATTTTATTTCTTTGGATCAGTAGATCTACATAAAGGAAAGCTTATCCATAAATCCATTACTTACCAGATAAACTTCCTGGATTTACTGGGAACACTGTCGCAACAGCTATTCTTACCACGAAAGAAAGTATTCTCACCACTGAACAGCAGAAGAAAGTACTATTCCTGCAGCTGTTTTATTTGAAGGTTAGATACTGCGGAGTTATCTTGGTTAACATATTTAAAAATGTTTAACTGGCTTTATCTTTCATATTTTCAGAGAATACATGTAGACCAACTGAAGCATGAACGTGGATTGTATTTAAACATATACAAAGAAGTGACAGCTATTCATGGTTCAAGTATTAAACAGATCATACTACCAAGTTTTCAAAGGGATTTTAGACACAATTATCTCAAGCTAAAAAAAACCCCACAAACTAATTTTGGCAACAGCCATGATAATAGGTCACCATGTTGTGTTCTGTTTGAAATATTTTTTTGTAAATGTCTGCACTGAAGATTTCTTTTTGTTTGCCTTTATGTAAATTTTTTACGTAGCTATTTTTATACACTGTAAGGCTTTGTTCTGGGAGTTGCTGTTAATCCGATGTATAGTGTAATGGTTTCATTTCAGTTGGTTTTATGACACCCTTTGAGCAGGTACATGTCTAATTCTGATTGTTATCAGTGAAGCCTCTGCTTTGTAGCAAGTACCTAGAGTGTAAAAGTGTCTTAAAGGAAAATGTCCAGCTCCTTTTTCATTCTTTGAAATCAACAGTGAAGAGGAAGGGTGACAGCTGTGACAAGAATAGACTAAATTGTTAATAAAAGCGAACATTTAAAAAAAAAAAAACATGCAAAGCTAAACAGCCAGAAAGGGAATAAAGAGTTTCCTTGGAGAAGGCTGGGTATTGAGCAAGGAACACAATGAAAACTTCCTAGCCTGCGTACAGACGGTGGCTAATAATCCTTTTCTTCTAGAGTGAGACACACGTTTTATTGATACGTTATCAGTCGTCTTTCATGTTAGAGTTAGAATAAGGAACTGGAATTCTGGATTAATTTTGATTCCTTTATGTTATACGCTGCCTTAAAGTACTGTACCTTTTCTTCATTTCAGAAAGATACCAGTCAGAATTGGAAACTTTTTTTGAAAAGTGGTATCAAAGTCATATCAAAGCTGCATTTTTTTCCCCACGAAAATAGAATATATATATATTTTTTGTGTGTTTTTGTTAACTATGCTACGGATATTGAATGCACCTTGAGATAATTTTAGTGTTTTTAACTGGTACCTAATTTATCAAACAGTACATATAATTGTAACAATGAAATGTCTATGTATCTTTAGTTACATTCAAGTTTGTAACTTTATAAACATGTTTTACGCTTGAGGGAATTTTTAGAATGGTAAACGTTTTAGGGTAAATGGGCGATAGAAGGTTGTACTTGAGGGAGAGCAGTTTCATCTTACGGGGAAGGTTGGTTTCTGGAAGAAAGTAACAGGCAGCTTTGATGGAGAGGAGTGGTAGAGCAAGCAGAACATCAGGTTTCCATTTACAAATATCCAGGGAAAAAGTAAGTTTTTATAGACTGGTAGGCAAAAATAAATAAATAATTAAAAAGAAAAAGATGGACGTTAGGAAATGTATTTTGCCACTTTTGCATTATTTAGGGGGAAGAAAACACTGTTACTTGTAAATTTGTAAAATGTTAAATGTCTGGGCAGTAGTGACTGATGTCTTAATAAAAGCTTCCTGTAGTGCATTGGCATGGATTAAATACATAAGATGTCCTATAAACTCTATGCTGTATAAAATGTTAGAGGGAAATCCTGTTACAAGCCTCTAAACTTTGATTTGTTACTGTTTTATTTGGCAAAAAGAAAAAAATTATAATCTTGGTCAATATTTAAACCAAAGTAAAATGGGGGAAAAACCAAAGTAATTTGTTTTGCATGGCTAAGCCATTCTGTTATCTCTGTAAATATTGTGATTTTTTTCTTTTTAGAATTTTGTTAAAAAAATTCTAAAATTTTTAAACACCTGTTTTTCCAAAATAAAACGTGAACACACAAAAAAGTTACTTTATATACAAATATATCTTTTTCTTTTGGTGCGAGAACACTGCCAAGTGATACACATTTTTTTAAAAAAACAAAAAACAGCAGTGGGCGTGACTCTGAACAGGAAGAGTTGTAACAGAGTCCTGTGAAGGAGTGTGCAAACATCACCTGTCTTTGTTTATAGCACTACAAATAGTTCTTAAATACAGAGAAGAAACCTCCAAAGATCATAAGGGAAGCATAGGGAAGGGCTGAAAATTTTCATACCACTGTCTGGGGAATACAGGGGAGAGGAGAAGAAAGAAAGAGAGTCCTTCAACTTCCACAGCTACGAAAAAGGAATAAAAACAACTCCTCGCCTTTTGGGATTCTGCTAGATCTCCTATGCACTTTAAATCGTCAATCCTAAGGAGCTGGGTTTTTCACTGCTCCGAGTTCACTATAGGCACGTTTCAAGAACCGAGAGTGCAAAAGAATTAATGTTTCTATCCATGCCTAAACAACAATAAAACCGAAGTATGTCTTCACTCGCTTGTCTGAAATCTCAGTTTCCAAGAACACGTATGAATGCGAGGGAGGGTGCTTACCTGCAGCTCGCCCTGTTGCTGTCTCCCGTCCTGCAAATACGCCTCCGTAGCCTCTGGCTGGGGTGAAAAGTCCGGCGAAGCCCAGGGGGGCTCAGTGTGGGGTGTATGGGCCTTCTTGTGGACCAGAGGGTCAGGACCTAGCAAGCATAAGCACTCACTTAGACAAAAAGGCACGTGGCCGGCAGGCACGTGAAACCTTCCGCAAGTTCATCATGCAGGTCTCTGCTGGTGGCCTGGTTAAATAAAATACCCTAGCAGTGAATCCTGGGGGGGAGGGGTGCTGTTCAAATCTGATTTTGTACACTACTCCAGAGTTCAACTTCAGTTTACTACCCATGGGAAGAAAAAAAAAATATCCCTGCTCACACAGAGTTTAAAAACAGGGCACGAGGGAGTGGGAGGGCACTGATCTCTTGTTTTAAGGTTGGGAAATTAAGTCAGCTTGTGGTGTCTGTTCATGGCTGTCCAGGAAACTGCCACTGAGCTTGGAACAAACCAACAGGTTTATCTGTATGCTGCAAAGGCAGCATTGTACAAAAATACCCCATGGGCTTCCCCAGGAACTCTGTAAGTCCCCAGAAGCCATCATACCAAGCCGATGGCTGCACTGCAGCGGGCGTGAGCTGCTATTAAACCACTCGCATGGAAATGTGGTAATGGTGAGGCCTTCTGGAGTAAACTAAGTACTCGGCAGGCAATACAACAAAAGGCAAAGCACTGGGGACGTTTTGTAGCGGTTCCGAGTGCTACAGAACAGCCCCCTTTCTAGGGCTCTACCACACTCACCGCCCTGCTGGGGCGGGCAGCTGGGCAGGGCCTTCAATCCTGTGAAATGCTTACCCGACTGCTTGCCAGTGAAACAAACGATCAGCACCTGATCATCTCTGTATTATCCAGGACT